GGGGGGGAGCTGGCGGGGGTGGGCGTGAAACCCCACCGAGGCCGTGGAGGGCGGGGGGAAGCGATGGGGAGGAAGGAGGCCCGAGAAGAGGGTATGGCCCCCGGTGCGGCGGGGTCTTTGTGCTGCCGGAGCCTGTCTGTGCCAGCCTGGCTGAGCCTCCGTCTAGGGGAGAATCTCCGGGCTTTAGTCTCTGGTGGCATGTCCTGCCCTCCCCGTGTGTGTGTCCTCGGCTGCTGGAGCTCCCGCTTGCAGGGCTTGGCTGGCATGTTGCTAAACCGTGGCCGAAAAGGTGCAGGGGGAAAAAAAATAAACCCCAACCACTGTGGCCTGTGATGGTGCTGGTTCCACCTGATGATGCAGCGTCATAAATACGCCTGGACTTCAGCAGCAGTTCCTCTTCTGATAGCTTTTGCAGGAAAGACTTTAATTGGGTTGAAAGTTGCTCTGCTGACAAATTATTTGCAGCCTCTGGGTGCTGCTGTAGTGCGGTGAGGATTCAGGCGTCCTGATCCCCAGCGGGGCTGGGATGCTTCTGGGCAAGGAGTGGGGAATCCCCTGCACGAAGCAGCCGTGGAAGGAGAGCGCCCATCGCTCACGACAAAGGAATGTGGGGAACACGCGCAGCTTCCCCGTTCTTGGAGGTCTGACTTTCAGAGCACATCATGCAGCCTGTCTGTCTGTTTGGGGAGCGTAGGGAGCAGAGGGAAGTTGGTAATTAAATGGGATAAGGCTTTATTCACGACAAGGTTTTGCAAAGCAGGCCGTGTTCTGCTGCTCGTCTCAGCTGTAAGCACCTGAGCTCAGTGGTGTCTCATCTTACAGGAAGCAGGAAGGGCCTTAGTCTTTTTTTAATACAGTTTTAAGTGATAAATGCAAAAATGTCCAAAAATGCAACAGCATCTGATAAACCTTTTTGTTATAATAACAGTAAAGCTGCCTGTGGGAGCTTCGGGGGCTGGGTGTTCATCGTGGCCCGTTCAGCACAGTGGTAACGTCCAGGGGTGTTTCTGAGCTGGTTTTATCCTTGTTGCCGAGACCAGCAGATAAAACTAAAGCAGTTTTTCCAATTCAGGCTTCCCTGCTGTCAATTTTTGCAACGCTAGAGCGAGCAGAGGAGTTGCAAGAAAAACTTGGATTTCTGTCAGAAGATCTTAAGGTGGCATTTGGGGAAACTATTTTTAGCAGGATTGCGTAACTTAAAAGCTGAGACTTTACCTACTGGGCAAATATTTCTTTCCCTGCGCGTGGTGCATGCCTGCTGTGCAGCGATCCTGCTGGAAGAGCCTCTCGTCCCAGCTTCAATCCTGGCCAAGCGAGGTGGGGGTTTGAGGCGAGCAGAGTCCTGGCCAAGGGCTGGAATTTCCAAAGCGAAGTGCCGCAGGGAGGCAACTGATGTTTAGATCACCGGCTTGGTCGTGTTCAGCCTGTTGGGAAAGGCTGGGATGCATGAGGGCTTTCTAAGACTGGCTGGGGCTCCAGAGGGACCCTTATTCTTCCCATTTAAATTTAAAAAAAGGCAAGGCAGAGTAATTTTTTATGGGGTTGGAAGACAAGGTAAGGAGTAGTCTGAGATGTGGTGGTGGTTCTCTGTTCTCGTGACTGACTTCGGACCCTTGTCCCCAGGGGAACGTGTATCTGTGTTGGAGGCATATGGGGCTTGTGTTGCAGGCGCTCAATGGTTTCTGCACAGGTTATTCGGCTTCTTAGGAGAGTTGTAAAGGCTCTTCAGGAAATGCAGGTTTCTCTTCTGTGTGGCTGAAAGCCTGGGTTTGTGTGTGGAGGAAGAGAGGTGTCTTCATCAGGGCCCTGAGAGGGGGTGAAGGGCTGGGCACAGCCTTCCACCTCCTTTTTTGCCATGCTCATTTTTCCTTCCCTTCCCCCCCTTCCGTGATTAGATCTGTCCTGTCTGACCTTTTGACTCCTGCATGGCAGCAGCTCTTGGCCCTCGAAGAACAACATTTTGAACCGTAGAAGAGGAAGGGGAAAAGATGGGCCATTGGGAGCATCTCCCTGAAAAGAGTAAAACCAGCCCAGCCCTGCCTCTTTGCCACTTAGGAAGGAATTCTGCCACGGAAGGTAAATCAAGTACCTTGCAAAACTTTCTCCATCTGTGCACAGGGGATGAGTTTTAAGTCCTTCCTCCACACACGTGGAGCCTCCGACACGTGAATGGTTAGAGTTACATCAGCAGTTTTACAGAGTGTTGCTTTATATATACTTTCAGGGCTTTTGGTTGGATGCTGCCGATAACTTTGAAGTCATATTTATCTGAAACCTTTGGTTTTGCTCTGTTAACAAGAAAGACTTCTATGTCTTGATGGTCCCCCTGTTGCAGCTGACAGTGCAACATGTATGGCTGTTCTCGCAGCTTGTAGCTTCCTGATCTCTACCCTGGCAGATTTACCTAGAACACTGTTCAGAGATCACAGCCTGCTATTCATGGATCTGTGCAGGTTCACAGTGAAGGACGCAGCTCTTGCTCTAAAGCTGTTAAAGAACCTTTGTTGTAAATTAATGTCTACAGGGAAATGGCAAGATCTTCCTTAAATTTCAGAGGTTTAAAACAAGTCCTGCCAAACTGGCTTAGAAACTGCCCCTGCCTGATTTCTGTATCTCTTATTTCACTTGGTGCTCTAGAAGCAGAAGGGCAGACACTAAAATTCCCAGAGCACTCTTGAAAGAGTGAGGTTCCCTGTGACTTGCAGGGAAAGCCTTTGTTAACAAAACCCACTGGTGAATCTGGAGTTCTGGAAAAGCATCCTAAAAGGCTGCAGAGACAGCTGGAGGCAATGCAAAGCGAACTTCAAACAAACCTAAAGGTAAAAGCGAGCTGTGAGTTGCGCTGCTCAAGCGGTCTCTGCCCGTGTTTTCTCGCTCATCAGTCAGCTTGGTGACTGGCCAACTGCTGGGGCTTCGCAGCTTGTGTGGGCTCCTCGCAGCAGAAAACAGGAAACACTTCTTACTGAATAGGATCTGTGCTGCTCTGCTCTGAGGATGGGATTATTCAGCAAGTCTAAAGAGATCCCTTGCATCCAAATGCTTTCAACTGAAGGCAGAAACCCCTTTGGTCTTCTCGGGTTATGATGTCCATGTGGCAGCTGGTCTGGGCTCACTCGGTACAACGGTAGTGCCGATAGTCGAAGGTGGGTCTGACCGGGAGCATGGAGGCTTGGCTGACGTGCGCAGGCCAGGCTGCTGAACTGTCTCAGCAAGGGGCTCAGGTTCTGCCCTGGGCTCTTGGGAATCCTATCCTCCTGTTTGAGGAGCTGGGACCTCTTGGGGTGCTGCTGGTGGAGGCAGTGGTTCACAGGCATCCTCCTGCATCCTGGGTCTGCCTTTCTGTGGCAGGTACCAGAGCAGTACATATGCCCTTGTTTAAAGGAACTGCCCAGCATGGTTTCCTTTGGGACAAGGCATCGCTTCCACTTCTGGCAGAGCAGTTAGAGTTGGGAGGGGACAGGCTACTGAAGGAGCAGCGATGTGGGATGCTTTTTATAACTGAGTGTGCGTATTCAGACATTTTGCTGGCTGTGACTTACATCTGCTGTTTCTAGGGGGCGGAAAAAAACCCTAAACATAAATTAGTTTAACTTCAGATTTAGGCTGGTTTTTTTTTGTTGTTGTCTTGATGCTGTAAGAAACAAACCAGAAAATAAAAGGCTTGGCAGATCTGGGTAAAGCTGTGTCGTGTAATTCCAGCATGGCCCCAGCTGTTAACAAGTGGTTTGTTCCGCTTATCTAACGAAGGGACACCTGCCTTGCAGACCCTTGCATCCTTCTCTGTAGCCATGAACGCTCTCCAGACAAATCACTTCTTGTGGCTGCAGGGCCCAGCACGTGCAAGAGGCCCCGTCCCCATCGGAGCCTGCCGGTGTCTCTGCCGTCGTGGATGAGGAACGTGCAGCCCCCCAAAAGCAGGCTGGGGCCGGGTTCCTGCCTCTGGACTGTCGGTGGCAACGTCTTCCTCTGGTCTTGCTGCATCTGCCTGTAGACATGCTGCAGGCTGTGGTAACATGCTGTGCCGCATTCCTCCATGATCTCTAGGGTTTGTGAGATGTGTCAGAGCTTGGGCGACAGCTGGGGAGGGCAGCCGGTGCCCGGGCAGCTGGTGGCTCGAGTAGTTTTTAATGGGAGCTTGTACCCCAAGTCACAGGACCTTGTTTAGTTCCTGCCCGGGTTCCTGGTAGGCAGGAGCTGTTGCAGAGAGCTCAAGCAAAATAAAGAGACTTTGCGGTGTCGAAATGCAGCAAGTGGGAAGAATATTCTAAGCTCGAGCATAAAGAACAAAACCAGAAATGTGTGTTTCTGCCTGGATCTTGAACAGTTCCCCTCTGATAAACCCGGGGCATAGGAACCTGAGGCTTGGGAGGCTGCGGTTCTGTCTGCGATACCTGGACCGAGTGTATCCCCCATTCCTGAGGATGATTGGTGACAGCCCTCCTGTGCTGGGGGGGTCATGGGCAGGGTCTCACCCTGGGGCTGTAGCTGGGGTACTGCAGCCTCTGCAAGGCAGGCGAGTGCTTGGCAGGAGACAAAGCGTGGGTGTAGCCCTGTAAAGGAGTGCACCCCCCTCCTGTTGAAATATTTTTGGAGGAATATAATGCTGTCTTGAGTAAATCTGCCACAAGGTTTCCTCCCAGTTGTCCCTGTGTTGTTACATAGCTGTGGGGTTTGGTGTATTATTTCTGCCCCTTTGGCAGTCCTGTCTGAGGTGTCAAAGCCCCTTCACAGCACTGTAGATTGAATTCCTGAGGTTTGGAAGGGCTTGATCTGAAAAAAGTACAGAAAGGAAGTGGCAGGAATTGGGTGGGCAGCTCAGCAGCTCCAGGTCAGGCCACCCTGTCAGAATGTCTTAATAAAGAGCAGGACCTTGATGTTCCTGAAACAATGTGATTTTTATCCCTGCCCTGCCAGAAGTCGTTGCCCTGGCTTAGCAACCTGCAGCACCAAACTGTGTTCCCTGAGCTGCTTTCAGTTGCGAAGCAGAGGCTTGCAGTCAGCTGCGATTCTTGATTATGCATTTCATAGGGCTGTAGGACTTGATGCAGCGCCAGGAGAGATCTTGTCATGTTCCTCGCAGGCTGAAGGTAGGGGTGGCTGGAGCGGAGCAGGGGTTTGATCTGGTCTGTGGACGTTGCTTCTGCTCATCCCACAGCTTTGGAAGAGAGCTGCTGTTTCAGTTCTCTGGCCATGGAATTGGGGATGGGATGGGTAAAAGCTGTCTTGTGCTGAGCGTGCGCCAGAGAGCAGGCTGTGCTGGAGGCAGGAGGGATGGGGCACTGCGGGGTTTTACCTGGGCTGCTTGGCTTGCTTTTTCAGATGAGCCTTGCCCAGTCTGAGGGGATAATGCCCTTGCCCCATGGCTGCACACTGGGTCATCCACCACCCTGTCACCTCCTTTGCTTGTGTAGGTGCAGAGGTGAAACTGCACGGTGCGATGTAAGCTTGCTGTGCTGAGAGCCACTCAGCTTTCAGCAGCTGCCTAGAGGAACTTCCCCCCCAATTTTTTTTTTTTTTTTGCTTTCCTTCTCGAGGTGGCTGATTTCCATGGTGAGCTATTCTGCCTCCAGCCTCTTTCACTTAAATCCTTTCAATGCACTGAAAGTATGGAAAACAGGATGAGTTTGTTGGGTCCCAGTGTCCCAGGGAGACACTGCAGGCTGGCTGTGGTTTTTTGGTACTGGTAGTGTTGTTTCATGTTGTGGGATTCTGAGGTGCTGCCAGCGTTGGGCACAATGCCTGTAGGTGTTCCTGGGACTATCAGCTGGGCTTTAGTGATCCTGAAGAGCTTCCCAGAATAAGGAATGGCCTTGCTGGGTGGCAAAGCCCTCTAGCCTGATTCTGCAGGGGTTAAGCAATAGGAGCTCTTCAACATGTTGTTTGTCCTACCAAAACGGGATCTTGAATGTGGGCAGGGCCTCACAATTGATGTGTTTTCTTCCTATTATACAACTGAGAATGATTGTTTAACCCCGCTTTCCTTTTGATCTTGTTTGCCTGTATGTACTTGGGGAAAAGCTTCCTTTGACTTGTGAAAGGCTTTTTAGAAAAAGTTGTGGGTTTTTGTGTTTTGGTTTTTTTTTTTTCCTTTGGAAAGTTTTGCTTTCTGGATGTGTGCTAATGTCGAACAGAAGATCAACACTGGAGGAAAAATCTTTATGGGAAGAGCTGTTAGATTTGTACTCTCAATGCTTTTGGCATTTAATTAGCAAATAATGAGTAATATTTTTGTTTCGCCTGTGGCCTCTTGAATCAAAATAGTATGTACAAAAACTTTGTGGATTACAGTCAGTCATTCTTGAAGTCTCTGCTAACTGGTTAAAACTCTTTGAAGAAACATCTCCATGCAAAAAAAGTTTTAGGCCTGGGGGATATTGATTATTTCAGGTGTGGGAGGGACTGCAGTGAGCATGCTGAATCCATCAGGTTTTGTTCCTGCTGAAGGAAACACAGTTTGGAGAAGGAGTGAATTAACTTGTGTCACCATTGTTCCAAAACAAGCACATTAGCTCAACAATTATGTTGAAGTGGGTGGTAACCCTTTAAAGGATTAGTAAGCAAGAATCCAGATACTAGTTGGTGTCGGGTAAATCAAACACAACTCCTTGGTGTTCCCTTTGAGCCTGGAGTGCAGCTCTGCTATGGTACCAGTCTGTGCAGAGTTGTGCTGTGGAGCAGTGCTGCTTGAATGCTGCTATATCGCAGAGCACGAAGGCTTGCCAGGCTCTTCCCTGAAACTGGAGTTGCTGTTAGGATTGCTTCGCTGGCTTTTCCTGTGAGTGGAGCGTAAATTACTTCAGATTGCTGTCTGCTTCCTGGGTATGTGCAATAGCAATTAGAGGCCCTGTGTATTAATGCTGGAGAGGAGCAAACGAGTCACGTTTCAGCTGAGGCTGTTTGAGTGTCTGATCAATTTTTTTGGTGGGGAGGGAGTGCTCCTGCTCTGTGGTGTCATTAGTGGGGTGGTTAATTATGCACATGCCAAGCAGCTGGTGGTTACTGCTGGTGGGCATGCAGGCAGAACTGGTTTGTTGTATCTGCTGCTCTTCACCAGTTACTCTTGATGGAGAAGGTGAAGTCAGGCAGGTGAAGCGACTGGCCTGGCCTGCAGACCAGTACTCTTGTCTGTGCCAGTGGTTTTTAAGTTCACGGCCCATGGATGTTTTAAATGCGTGCAGAAATTCCTGGGAAAGCCACTAACCCATGCAGGCTCATGGCACACAGTCAGGCAAGCCAGATGCCATCAAATTGGGAAGAAGCAAAAGAACAGGCAGAGCAATGCCATGAATCTGATCCTGCGGCCGCTGAGTTGTCTCTCCAGACCTCACGGGTAGTTCTGAGCATGAGACTCTGTTTGTGGCTGAGCCCAGGGATTGCCCGTGCTGGCTGGACTCTGGACCCGGCTTGGTTTTGGTGCTGGCATTTGAAATCAGATCTGCTCTGTTGAGCAGCGTGTAACATGGGTGAGTGCGGGGTGTGATTTTTGTACCAGAAAAGTCAAGGTAATGATCAGAAAGACCAGGAAGGTCTGACAAGAGTCAAGGCTATAAACGCAGTCACTTGGAACGGTCTGGCCAGGTCTGCGGGGCTCGACAGAGCTGCCGAAGCCCTGTGCAGCGAGGAGAGTGCAGTAGAGAAGGCAGCTGGCCCCCAGCCTGTATCTCAAAACTGAGCGTTTGTTTTTCTCGCTGCCTTCACATTTCTGTAATGCACAGCTCTAATTCCCATCCTTGTGCCTTGCTGGGTGTGCAACCCCAGCTGGAGGAGCCATGGGGGATATGGCAGCCGGACCTGCACTGCTGGTGTTTCATTTCCAAAG